ACTACTTGAGACACACACTGTATATATAGATTTTTACTGAGGCTGTGATTCTGCAGAGCACTTGCTTGTGTGCTCGTGATGGCTCTGACCTATTTTACTAAGAATTTATCTGGCACGCTGGCTCCTGCTATCTACCCTACTTCTCTCCCTGAGGCGGCTCCTGAGTGTAGTTGGGAGTTACATGCTGGGCTGTAAACCACAGTGCTCAGGAAGGAATGCATATGCCATTCAGCCGCTCCTGCAGAGATGACCACAGCCTCTGGAAGAAAGGTGAGGTGAACAACTGAGGGTAGAAGCTGTTCCAGCTGTTCTGTCATCATTTTCCTGCAACACAAGTCTCACACCATCCATTTTAATTAAGCAGTTCCTTTATTTGCGTTTAGCTGTTTTTCTAAGTTGATGAATCAGGAGCTTACAATTTAAGTTAGACTTTGTCTTTTGTTTGACTTTGAGAATCTGTGGCACTGCTTGTTATCCATTTCAATGAAAAGCAGTGTTTGACTTGGACACTTCACACAGCTATGCAGATGCTGAGTGGTGAAGTGAGGACTGAATGTCAAAAAGTTCTTCCAGAAAGTCTTCTGGGAGAAGGAAGCCCAGTGTCTAGTTGTGATGAGTCTGCTTTGTATATCAGGAGAAAAGAAGGAGATTCTGGTATTTTCTGGTTGTACAGAACTGTCTTTCTCACTTTATAATTGATATGTTCTGCAACCCCAGGAGTAAACTTGTCTGATGGGAGCCGGATTGTTCTGGAGCTTTTACCTCATTCTTTTCCACCAATGTGTAGAAGCTCATTCCTGTGGAAGCAGGCCAGATTCTGTTTTTTGTCTCATGCGTATGTAAGCTTACTCTTTGCAGCAAGCATTACATTGGCATCACGTTTACCTGTGTAAAGTTAAAAGAGAAATCATTCATGCCAGTTTTATACTGATGGAATCGCAAGATAATTTATGTTGGAATAATGTACACTGGAGGGCAACTAGTACAGCTTTCTACTCATAGGAGGGCTCATGGCTCTGTTCTGCTGAGTTTTGAAAACCTCCAGTGAAAACCTCACAGCCTCTTCGTCCATCCTCTTAGGCTGACACCTGCATTGTGAAATTACTTTTCTTTATCCAGCAAGAATTTTCCTTGCTGCAGCTCATGTCCATTGTCTCCTGTTCTGCTGAGTGCCTCTGAGAAGAATCTGTCTTCTTTATAGCACCTCCTTTGGTCTGTGGCAGACTGCAGTTACATTCATTATCTTCTCCAGATGGAAGAAACCTGGCTCCTTTAGGGGCTTCTCTTTCATGGTGTGCTCCAGGCCCCTGACCATCTGAGAATCCCTCTTCTGGGCTTGCTTCAATTTGACAGGATCTCTCTCTTGCACTGGGGCTTCCAAAGCTGCACACTGCTTCAGGTGCACCCTCAGGAGTACTGAGTAGGGAGAAATAATCACTTTTTTTGATCTGCTGACTATAATCTTCCTAATGCAGTCTGGGATGTGGATAGTCTTTATCTCCACTGGGACATACTACTGGCTCAAATTCAACTTGTACACCAGGAACCACAGGAGTTTTTCCACTGAGCTAGCTGGCATCCAGTCTGTGCTGCTGCTGCATGGGGTTACCCAAGCACAAGCTTTACATTTACCCTTGCTGAGCTTTGAGGTTTATGTCAGCCCATTATTCCAGTTTGCCAAGGTCCATCTGAATGGCAGCCCTACCTTTTGGCATATTGGCCCATTCCCCAAGTTTGGTGTCATCTTTGAAGCTGGTGAGGGTACATTCTATTGTCCAAAACTATAATGCAGTTATTTAACAGTATCATTCTTGGGACTAACCCCTGAAGAATGTCACTTGCAATTGGCAGATAGATAGACTCAGAAATGTTGACCACTGTTCTGGAAGACTAATTACCTTACCAAAACCCAGGAAGCGTGCTCTTGCCAGTAACAACCAAGGTGAAGAAGATGCTGAATACATCAGCCCTTTTCCTGTGTCAGTAAGTTGTCTGTGATAGCCTTGATTCTCTGTTTAGCTGCCACTATACCACATCACTTGCAATTGTAATTGGCAAGTTTCAATTTCAATTCATCCAAGTGAAATTTGGCTTTCCATTCCTGCATGCCTGTGCAATGTTTCTCTGGTGAAGTTTCCTCCTGATTACTCCTTCCACATGCTACCATTTTGGTGCATCATAATCAGTTTTGGAAGCGTCAGTGTTGTTATGAAGCTTATTTTGTCCTGATGCACCACTCACTGCACGTCAGTGTGTAGAGGTCCTCTTTGGAGGGGATCTTATTTCTCTGATTCACATTGGTAATAGTTTACTGATGTGAAGATCAATGTACTTACTGCAATTCCTAAATGTACCTTTTTCCTCCAATGGAAAAGGTACAAGTTTCCACATACAGAAATATTTGTATGCTTTGATTAATTTAAAAATATTTCCACTATTTATTCTTTTTTTTTTCTTATTGAGAGTTTAAAGTTACATGATTCTTGTGGGAACTTCATGGTATGGCAGAAAACCCTCCTCCCCTCCCAGCTGTGGCAAGGCAAGCCTCAGGAAGCTGGTTTCTGAGATTTTTAAAAGAATGACTATGTATTGGCTGATATATTCAGGTTCACTTGAAATTCAGAAGTTCTGAACTTGTGTTTAATCTGTTCATTGGCACAGGGGTAAGTTTGACATAGATGCCAAGCTCTCAGACGCCAAGCTGTGTGTACTCAGCTCCAGCTTTTACTAAGGGGAAGTTAAGCTTTCAAGGCCAGAGGCATCTTAAAGAAAACTAAAAAATAGTGGGTGAGAGGAGGAATGGTGTATTTGTGTTGTCAGCAGAACGTGATGGCATCATAGCTGTGGAATCTGGGATGATGACTGTGTCAGAAATGCCTCCAGCAAAGAGCTGAGTACCTTCTCTCGTCATTAGAGCAGAGGGATGTTTTGCAGGAACTGGCATATAATCAAGATACTGTTTTGAGAGTTACATCTGAACCAGTTTCAGGGAGAACTTAAATTACTGGTTTAGTTTCTGCTTCTCAGGGTATATCTATGGAATATCCCTTGGAGTTCCTCAGGTCATGCACCAGGGCCATTCCACAGTGAGCCTGTCTGTTTGTTTACCTGTCTAAAGGTGACCTTGGTTCTTTTGCATTTTACATGGCTCTCAGAGTTGTTCTTCCATAAACATTAGAATTCATTTACATTCCCAAATCCATTCTGTTAGTAACCAACTGTAGGATTAGTGTATTGGGATTTTTTTAATACCTAGTACACAGTGTCCTTCATATATCCCAGAGGTCCAGCAGGATCAGCCAGACTAGAGTAGTTCTGAAAAAAAGGAAAAAGACTTGTTGTTTGTCTGTTTAAAATAATGTTTGGTGTTTAGGATCGTATTGTGAAAGATCAGCTGAAAACTTACGAAGTATGAAGTTTTTAACTACTTGTTTCCTCCTGTAAAGTTCCTTGTTAAAAATTTCTACTGTAGTGGGAGAACTGCACACCTAAAATTCCAAACATTTAGATCAGCTGTCCTTGGAGAAATTCCTAAGACAAACTGCAGAACAGTTCTTTTTACACTACTCTTTTGTAAGACTATTCTGAGCCATCTCGTCCTTCAGCAGCAGACAGCGAACAGGAAAATTTAGTCTGATCGTGGAACTTGGCCTTGGAGAAGAATGGCATGAGGAAAAAGAACACTTCAAGAGACTCAAAGAGTGACAGTCAAGACTACCCGTCTGAATAAAATCTCTGCCATGTTTTGTTTTATCTGACAAAATCCTCCTTTAGGAATAAATCTTTCCTCTCCATCTCTGACGTTCAGTGAGTTCATATGAAGGACATGAGCCAAGGTCACGTAGTAGTGAATGAGAAAGCATCTGGGCTACAAAATCTAATGCAGGTAGCAGGAGTTACTGGAGGAAACGTTGAAAGTCATGTTTTCTGTTACTCTTAATTCTGACAAGCTCTTCAGTCTGAAATGTTCCACCAGCTCTCTGTGGAATCTTTTGTTTTTTTCAATGATTATGCTAAAATATTCATTTAGGAAAGTAAATATAAGGGAAAAAAAGTTCTTAAAATGTTCTTGTACTGTTTCATTCAGAAGTATGGGAACTAACTGTTTGATAGGGGAGTTGTTTAGTGGTTTTTTGTCTTCCTTGTGAAAATTCACCTAAATATGGCCAACTTACTAACCCCTAGATTCTCTAAGGAGTGTATCTATAGTCAGCTTGCTGCTTGCTGGGTTTGCAAGAGCCAAGTTGAATCTTTGAGGCAGTCATTTCTTGTGAATGCCAGGAACTGCCCCAGTCCTTGGCACCAGTGCTGAGAGCCAAGCGACATTAGTTGTTGCTCTGTCTCTAAGTCCTGTCAAGGAAGGGGAAGAAAAATACAGGAAGGAAAATGTGGATGGCAAAAAATACAGGGTGAGGAAAGCAAGAGCAGAAGAAGGTGAAAGATGATGTGGAAATAGGGCAAGACAGGAGTGAGTGAACTGGATATACACACTGGAACATGGGGAAGTAGTGGGGAGCAGGGGCAGGATAAAGGCGAATAGCTGGGGGAAGGAGGGAGGAAAGAGCTATGAGAAGCAAAAGGAGCTTGGATGCTGAACAGGGACAAAGGTTTCAGTCCTTTGGACCTCTGTAGCCTTCTGATTCACCAGCTACTCCATTAGCTCAAGGGACAGTGGCTGTGCAGGGCTGAGCACAGGCAAAGAGATTCTTCTGGAACTGGAGATGTGCCTGTAATACAGAAGATCAGTGTCATTCTGTATGGTGGCACTTTTATTCAAGATGCAGAAAAAAGTATAAGGAATAAAGATTTTTCTTTCTACATGGTTTATTTGATAGTTACAAAATTGGAAAGCCCTGCTCTCAAAAGGTGGGGAATGCCAGAGTTCTGCTTAGTCCTGCAGTTTTTATTCAGTCCTCTTGTCACGTGGTATTTTTCACTAACGGAATACCTTGGTGATAATGCTTTACTTTCAGAGTCTCTGTGGACTTTCCTTGCTGATGGCAGAGTCAGGCTGAGAATAGATAACTCGTGTCCTCAGACTCCCATAACAGTTCATCAGATGTTCAAGGACAGCCTAGAAAAATATGGATCGCTTAATGCTTTGGCCAGCAAAAAAAATGGAAAGTGGGAGAAGATAACTTTTTCAGAGTATTATTGCCTCTCCAGGAAAGCAGCCAAAGGCTTTTTGAAGGTAGGTACAGGAAACAAAACCAATTCCTTTTTCTGCCTTTGCCTTCTTAAAACAAACAAAACCAGTTCCTTTTTCTGCCTTTGCCTTCTTAAAACAAACAAAACCCCAAATCCACTCTATAAGAGGCTTTTCCCATTAATTGAAGATCATCAGTCGTATTCTTTATGGAATTAATAATGGTGAAAATTGCTTTTGGTCAAAGAGATTACACTAGCGTCAAGGGAACTTGACTTCAAGTGAAGAGTTGCTGTATTACACTGTCTCACTGGGGCCTGGGTACAAAGCTCAGCAGAAGGCCTGAAGATTAAAAAAAAAAAAGGTAAAAGCAGCTCTGTCAGGACTTTGGTGGGATAAAGACAGATTTGAAAACATTTTAAGCATAGGGTAAGATTAGTACTTGGTCTGCTCTTGCTCTTACTGAAAAGTTCTGTTTTTCAGGCCTTTCTGAAGAGCTCAGACAGGAGAATGTGGTGGAAAGTTTAGATCATGTTAACTGCTGATAACTACAGGTTTTGCTATGGATAACAACAGAGATGTGCCTGCACATGGCTTGTCAGTGCTAGAATACTAAATCAAAACTTTCCATTGTTTATGTCTGTGTGCATGTTTCATGCTCTATGTTTCTCTCCAGTGTGCCTGTATTATACAAACTTCTGCTTATTATTTTTAAGCTTGGTCTTGAACGATTCCACAGCGTAGCAATCCTTGGATTTAATTCTCCAGAATGGTTCATCTCAGCTGTTGGAGCTGTTTTTGCTGGGTAAGATTTTCCTTTGTTTGATTTTGTGGCAGATCTGGGGATTTCTGTTTTGGTAGGTCTGGAAATGTTGCAAATCAGTATTTGGTGTCATATCTTGGAAGCTGTGCTGCAGGCGGTTGGCATGTTCAGCAACCTACTGGAGCCTCACAGCTTTCAGTGTATCCAAACCAGTGCAGACACTCATAAACTGATCCTTTTTGCTATGGGCTTAACTGTGACAGTCACACAGAAGCTGTTGTACATTATCACTGGAAGATGGGAAATAGATGAGACTTCCTCTTTTGTAGTAATGATGTTTGTCTACAGCAAGATATGTTCAAGTAGATGAAGTGACAGGTAAATACAAATTCGCCTGATTCCTTCTGTCCTGATACCTATTTATACAATTTGGATTTTACCTCTTAAGCTGTTTCTGTGCCAGTGAAATTGAAACTGGTATCTGTGTGCAGCTTGACAAGAAAGATAACATTAATGTTGGGGGTTTTTACCACTTCCCAAGCTAACTCTCTTGTATCCTCAAGTAAGTTAAAATGCTGAATTCTAGCCTACGGCATCTTCTACTAAATAGAGTTCAGAGATGAGTTTTTGCAATGTGCATATATCAGGTAGTCATGTATATCAGGATACTTGAAACAAATGCAACAGCTGTGCTGCTGTTTACTTCCACATCTGTCAGCTTTCATCTGATCTTTGATTATTATTGTCTTTTTTGATACTAGGTGCATGTATATGTGTGTGTATCAGTATGTATTCTTATATATACACATTTTTAATGCAGAGGAATTGTCACAGGGATATACACAACCAATTCTCCAGAGGCCTGTCACTACATTGCTCATGACAGCAAAACCAATATCATGGTTGTGGAAAATCGGAAGCAACTGGACAAGATAATGCAGGTATAGGGCAGCTGAATGGTTACTGAAAAGCCCTCATTTCCCCCTTTCTCAATGCTGAGCTGGTTCCATATGCATTATCTCTATCGTGAAACCTTTCCTGGGAGTGTTCTTACTTGGGAATCTGGTATCTGAGGATGCTGAGGAGCCATCGCTGGGGGTTGGGTTGGGTTGGCATTTGGGTTTTTCCTTTTTTGACTGGAAAAAGATTGAAACAGATTTTCTAGAGCAGACTGTGTAGTGTCTCCTTTTATTCCTTCTCTCCCCTCCTCGTTGGTTGTGAGTTTACGGGAGAATATTTGAGAATGGAGGGAAACAGGAGGTTTCTTGTGACTGTCAAGCCATTACAGTTTTGGCAGTATTTTACTGGGGACAAAACCCACATAAGATATGAGTAATAAGTAATAAATTTGGTTTTAACAATCCAACAGATCTGGAATCACTTGCCACACTTGAAAGCTGTTGTGCTATATAAGGACTCCATTCCAAAGAGATACCCAAATTTGTATACGGTATGTGAATGCTAGAACAGAGTTGTAACACTTGGGGTATTAGATATTTGATAAATTCTACTATATTTAATCTGTGGAATGTCTGCCATTTAGAATGCATTGATGTGTTCCAGCACATTCAAAAGCTTCATCAGCTTTTTCTGTCTCATTTACCTGTAACTTCATGTTTGATACTAGACATTTAAAATTAGAAGCACCTTGCTTAACTATCTGTCTTGTGCCTTCCTGGCTTTTTACTTGACTGGATTAACAAAACACCTGTAGACTGCAGGTAGGAATGTGTACTCCCAAATGGTTAAAAATAAAGGTTGTCCACTGGTGCTATTGAAACCTGAGTTGTAGTTAGTTACACTTGATCCAAGGTGAAAGTGCTTGTGCACAAAGTATTCCCAGTGACAGGCAACAAGTGAAGGGAAATAAATACGGACTACACATAGAGAAGCACATTTTCTTAGTGTATGTGGAATCTTCATATCACATAGTAAAAACCAAGCAGAAAAAAGGACAAAGGCAGGATCAGGAATTTGAGTGGTGGAAGTCCAGCCTTTAATTTAAGAAACAGGAATGCTTCAAGCAAACCAGATTTTTGTAAACATGTTATTCCAATATATTCTGAAAATAGTTAAGTAATAAGAATACAAAAGTCAGTATTTTAAGTGGACTACAGCTTATCAGGTTCTAGGCCGTAAAACTTCAAGGGGGGGTTTTGGAGGAGATACTAATGAAGACTGGACAGCATAGAATTATTTAAAAATACTTGTAATTTCGATGATCTGAGGGGTTATTAGGTTCACAAGAAACAAGTCTTCTGCACTTGTTTAATCATCTTTTGCTATGTTGAATAGCACATAACAAATGGTTTCTATTACAGTGCTGTATGAACTGGTATAGCGTATGCCCTGCATCTCAGTACAATAAAAAAAAAGATTATGATTTTACTATTTGTATTCCTTAGTAAAAAGAATAAGCTAGCAGGTAGTTCTGGAAGAACATTCAGTTGGTGAAACCTAAATGCCTGGGAATTGATCTGTTCAGGTGTCATGTTGGGCACACTTCCTCAGTGGAGAAGGAGAGCTATGGCAATGTCTGAAAGTTCCACAGTTTGTTGTCTAAAGGAAGAATCAGAGATAACTCACCAAAGGCAGAAATGATTGGTTATTAGGTTTGATGTAAAGCAAACCACATGGCATTGATGAAAGGGATCTGTATTGCAAGATGACAGCTAACATGTAATGAGCTTTTGCTGCAGTGAGGGCAGAACCCTGGTTCACTGATGAGTGCATGTTTCCAGCAGGCAAATGCAAAGTCATAGTGTGTGTGACTGTACCTTTCATGATCTGTGGAATGGGAACACTGCCTGTTGCAGGTACTGTTCAGTAAACAAAGCCTAGGCAACAAATTCACAGTGATTACTGCGTTCTAGAATGAGAAGACAGGTCAGGAAGGCCTGTCTGCTTGGAATGACTGCTAAATCACATAGAAACAATTACACCCTTGACACTCAGATGTTCCAGGAGCTAGTGAAACTGATGCAGCAGCATTCCATGGGAAGGGATAGAATGTGACAAATTCTCTACCTGCTAGAGAGCTGTGTACCGCCTCTCTTTTCAGAGATGTGATTTATTGGATGAACGTATAAAACTGATGAAGCATACTTAGGACAGCCTTGCCACCCAAGAAAAGGAAGTCTCAGTGCCACAGAGGCTAATGATTGTAACCCTGATGGCAGAGGTCTGAAAGAAACAATGACCAAGCACAGACTCTCCTTTTTCACTTCTGTTGTCCTTCACATCATTCCCTTTACTGCTGTGTGGTCCTAGATATATCTCCAAAAACTGTTAAAGAATGGAGGTGCTGCATTTGAATAACAGTTGTGTAGCACAGTATAAATCATATGATTCCAATAGGAAAATGATGGTTTGGTTATTGACTATCTTAAAAGACTTTGTTGTACCCTAGTTTTCAATTAGGATTGGAATCAATGGCACACATAGCAGCATATCAGATGCATGTAATAGTAGTGTCTGGGAGCAGCCAATATGATTCAGCATCCTTCTGGGCCAGTTTGTGTGGCACACAAGTCAGCATCATAAAAGCTTTAGCTCATTCTAGGTTGAGCTAAATTTGGATGGAAGTTGTGTGCTCTGTTTGCTATAGAACAGCAGATAATTTGGGCATGCCTTCCCACGCATAGATAATGAGGCTTTTGCAAAGAAACTCTCATCCAATTGTTTATATTAGCATTGATATAGAGGACAAGGAAGTGCGAATGGGGTGTCACAAGTGTACTCTTACTTAAAAAGGGTACATTCAGATTCCTTTGTATAAGACTCAGAATTATCTAACAGTGTGAAATAGTAACAGAATTTTAGTCTCTGACTTCTATATAGTACCCATCTAGGAGGAGAAGTAGTATTACCATTCCCTTAGACATTGAAAAGACTCATGGCAGCACAGTTTTAGATAGTCTGTTTGCAATTCACACATCAAGTTCTAAGCTAGTCTTACCATCTTTCTTACACAGGAAAGACACAGGGAAACTTGCCTTGGAAACATGTGCAGAGCAAGGCACTGAAGTTGTCTGCCATTTTTGAGACTGGTAAGGTACTGAATGTTTCCCACTTGTAAGAAGCCATTTGGTATCTTGTGTTCTCTGTTACATGTTCTAGATGGAAGAGTTTCTGGCTTTGGGAGATGACGTGTCTGATACTACTTTGGATGATATTATTAACTCTCAAGAGCCAAATCAGTGCTGTGTGCTAATATACACGTCCGGAACAACTGGGAAGCCAAAAGGAGCCATGCTGAGTCATGACAATGTATGTGCTTTAGCATAAAAATAGCAATGTATGAGGATATTTATTCTTATGTTATGAAATGACTGGTACATACTAAACCCTTGAAATCCTTTCGCTTTTGCAACATGGATAAGGTACTACAAAGCAGTATTCAAAATGCAGTTGTGAAGTTGTGAATGCTTATACTTTCTGGTGAAATATAAGCAACTTGAAAAACGAAACTTCACTCGAACTAGCACTTCACAAAATTGAACAGTTTGTTATGAATATGACTTCTTTTCATTCACTGTTCTTCCTTTTGTAAGATCCAATGCATGTATTCGTAAATATAATTCACAGATTGCCATAAAGTCTCTCAGGTGATGCCACAGGTCATCTTAAAAGAAACAAATCATATATACCCCCCCCCCAGCCACTATCAAAATAAGCTTTGCTTTTGCAAAGGGCTTCCCATGGAGGACCAGTAGCGAAGATCTGAAATGTAGTTGTTTTGGGGTTTTATATATATATATATATAAATTTTTTAAGGTGGCTGAGCAGGAGTGGAAAGTGGTGGGGAGCCTTTCTGAACACACAGACTGTCTGTGAATGGGCTGGTCTAAGCTGTGGCCTCGCCTCTTAAAATAAAGCAGAAACTATCACAGACATGTCCACTGTGAGGAGCAATTCACCGAAATGTGGGGAATTAGTACAGTAGTACCTGGGAGCAGAGCATACTGGACTTGGTAGACATAAAGACTGATCTTACACTGCAGATCCTATGCTCTTCCATCTCAAAGGAGTCTGCTGTCATTTCCATGGTAGCTGCCAAGCTATTCCTGGCTGCTGATCACAAACAGGCTATTTTTATGTTGATGAACAGTGGAAAGCATGCCTTGCCTGTAGCTGTGCTGCTGCCTTCTTTAGTCAAAAGATGCTTGCTAGTGTCCATGTGCAAAACCAATGCTGAATCAGTCATGTATGTACCCACATAGATCTGCTGTGAGTGTGCCTGTGTGCCACAAGGCTTGGGACAATAAGCAAATCAATGTAGCTGCATCTCAAAGAGACCCCAGTTCTGCCTACTGCGTAAGTCTCCCATAGCCACGTATCCAGTGGTGCCATCTAAACCTGTAGTGGCCTGACCTCACAGCGTGCTGCTCCTTAACAACCTCTCATGAGAATCTGTGTTTCATTAGACCAAATGTACATTTTGGACCATCTAATTTATTGCAAGGAAAAGGAGCTGGCAGGAACATACGATACAAATCATGTGCAGTACCTGTTATCTCTTCTCATCTTGAATAATTTAATTTCTGTGTCCTGCCTTACCCATTTTAGGTTACAGACTTCTCAGAGAAAGAGATGTTTCTTGGTTTGGGTTTTTTTGTTTTTTCTTCTTTGCATGTGTATCTTTTCACAATCCCCTTATATCATCACATGTATTTGTGGGTCTTCCATATGCTATATTCCTATAATGAAGATGTGCATATTTGGCATCCTTGAACTGCTTCTTCTGAGATAAAGTGGGAATTACGAAGGAGGAGAACATCATCCAGTTTGACTAAGAAGTCACACAGCACACGTTCCAAAACATTCATGTTTGCAGTGCTGCTGGTCAGGGTAGGGGGGTGTGCGTGTGACTTGTGAACCACCGTGGTGAATACCCTAGAAGCTTCCAGAGGAGCAGAATGTAGCTGCTATCTTCCTTATTAGTGCTTAGCCAGGTGCTGATCAATACAAGGTAATGAGCTTGTTGCTGATACTGAACTGTCGTTTGAGTCCGCTGATCACTCAGTGTTCTTTGTTCTTTTTTAGGTAAACATACAGACACGCAGGGCCCGTGAAAAATGCCAGCTTGATAGAAAGTGTGCATAGTAGGAGAGTTGTAAAAGAAGGGGCAGATCCGTTTACTCCTTGCCCATCCAGCCCATGGCTGCCCTGCTCAGTGTGTCATTTGGGCATAGGAAGTTGGTAGCATTCATAGCCCAGTCAAGGAGCAGAAAGGCTGCATTTATTTATGTTATCTGCAAGACTTTGTTGCTGATAATTCATCTTGCTTTTGACCAAGCATCCCCCAGGGAATTGAGTCTGTTGTGCTGTCAAAGATTGCAGTGTCTTCAGTTTCTGTGAGCACAGATTTTGCAGTTACGTTAGCATAGCATGAGGATCCTTACTTCATGTTAAAAGGAAAAAAAGAAAAAACAACCCCATGATACCTGATGTGTTTTATAATTGATCTGAACAGATAACTTGGACAGCAGCACACTGCAGCAGAGCAGGAGAAATGCAACCTGCAGAGGTCCAACAGGAGTCAATCGTCAGTTATCTCCCCCTCAGCCACATAGCTGCGCAGATATATGACCTGTGGACTGGAATCAAGTGGGGAGAGCAAGTTTACTTTGCTGAGCCAGATGCTCTGAAGGTATCTTTCTTGCATTGTACCTAATTCATCTTCTTCTTAGAATACATTCCAAGGAGGGAGTATGATCTTTGAAAAGCTGCAGAGAATGAAGCTTGAGAATCCATTATTGTAAGAATTATGGAAAAATAAAATCCATTAGACCTGTGATCCAGTGCTGTAGACACCAGTTAAAATAGATAATCCAGATCCATAAGGTTCTTTTGAAGCAGAAGAATATGCATCTAAAGCAAAAGAAATGTAAGCAATTTCTGGAAGAAAGGGAGGCAGAAGGATCTAAACTACCTGTGTGTTTTTCTTGTACATATACCTCCCTGATGTGTCAGCTGACACGTTAATGCATATGTCTGACTGAAGCAGCCTCCGCAGTCCTTCTTTATATCCTATATGTTCAGTGATGTGCTGCATGTTAGTATTGCAAGACGCAGACTGCATCACCAAACCTCTTTATCACTGCTGTGGACCTTTTGCAATGCTTTGAAATGATTTAATGGCTTTAACAGGGCAGCTTGGTCAACACACTAAAAGAAGTACAGCCAACATCTCACATGGGAGTTCCTCGAGTATGGGAGAAAATCATGGAGAAATTAAAGGATGCTTCTGCTCAGTCAGGATTTATGAAGAAGAAAATGCTGTCATGGGCTATGTCACTTAGCTTAGAGAGAAACCTAAGCTGCTCAAGCAGGTATGTATTGTAAGAGTGAGATTTCCCATCAACTTGAAAGTAGCTACCTGCTTGCAATAAACTATGAAGCATTGGTGAAACTCTTAAGTGTAAATGTGTAACATCTGGCCTGGTGCCACAGCAAATGTAATGCAAAAGGGAAGGTGTAGTTATCGGTTCCAGCAGGCTGATCTTAAACACAGGGGACTGTTTAAAATGTACTCCTACTAACATGTCCCCCAGCTTGCACGACACAGTGAAGTGTGAAATTGCTTACAGAAAATGTATTCCAAAACCTTGTGCAATGGTGCTGATTGCTTGTCTGAGCATTCAGCTTCTCAGATAGGTCCTGCACGTCTCAGACTGTAGTCATAGAGGTTCTCAGAGATGCATTTAACTGATAAAGAATCAGAAATAGAAGAGTTTGTTTTATACAATGTGGTTTTATAGAATCTTTAATTGCAGTATTCAGGCACCTCAAGAGCTGGAGTTCACTTAGCAAGAAAAGACATCCTATAAATGAGAAAAGGAGCAATGTGTAACCTGGTTTTACTGATGCAACTTTTGTCAACACCCAAAACCAAACAACAAATAAATCTCTAAACAAAATTTGTGTTCGGTTTTGTTTTGGCAATCTCCAAGGTTGCTCTGACTTGCTGTCTCCTTCTCTTTTGTGTTTTTCACTCAGCAGTGATTTAAAACAGTTCTGGATGAGGTTAGCAGACTACTTTGTGCTTGCAAAAGTACGTAATGCACTGGGGTTTTCTTCCTGTCAGAAGCACTTTTCTGGTGCTGCTCCTCTCAATACAGAAACACTTTATTTCTTCTTGGGTCTGAACATCACCCTGTATGAGGCCTATGGGATGAGTGAGACCTCAGGCCCCCATTGTCTATCTGGGCCAACCAATTACAGGCAGCACAGGTAACTTCTTTTTTTTCCTTTTTGCTTTTTAACTTTAAACCCTGGTATTTTTCATTATATCTTTGAGAAGAGTTTTTACTAAGTTCAGCACAGATCTTGTTTGTGTTTTATTTTCTCTTAATGCATTGCTATTCCATTGTGACTTCGGGAGGCAAAATAACTTCCTTGTCAGAAGCTGAACACATTCCCTCCGTAGCATGGCACACTGAGAGCATTGAAATGATCTGCAGCGTTATATGCACAACGTAGTTACTAAATATGACATATATCCTAGCCCTGGCCCAGGGTAGGTTAACTTTCAAATGCAAGACCCCAAATACAGAGGTGTTTTTATGCCTGAAGATACAGAGGGATAAAAAAACCAAACCAGGAAGCACAGAGCAAGACAGTCAGAATAGACTGCTTAGATACTTTTAACGTATCTACCCTAGTAAATTAATATTCCATAGCTTTCTAACAGTTACAGCAGGGTGTTATTTGCAGTCACTGGGACTTCGATGGGTTTGGAGATTTGGCATGTTAGAAGTCTTAACAGTGTCATGTTTCATATATCTATGCTTGTGTCTGATAGCTGTGGAAAACCAACACCTGGCTGCAGAGTGAAATTGGTGGACAAAGATGCAGAAGGCAATGGAGAAATCTGTTTCTGGGGAAGGACTGTTTTCATGGGTTATTTAAATATGGAAGAAAAAACAAGAGAATCGTTTGATGAGGATGGGTGGCTGCATTCTGGAGATTTAGGAAAACTAGACAAGGATGGCTTTCTCTATGTCACTGGAAGAATTAAAGGTAAGTAAGAAAAATCTTGCTCCACGTTAATGGTAACTGTTCAGTCACCTGTCATATACGGCCCATTTAATTAAGTGTCTTTCCTCCAATGCCAGCAACATTGAGCTAATAGGAAAGCAAAATAAACTCTCTTATGAGGAAACCACAGTGTGCCCTCTTCAGGAAAGACTTCCCTTTAGTCTGTAAGAAGTGGAGATGGTTCAGCTCCTACAATGAAGGTTTTTCTCTTCCAAACCTTTCTTCAGTATTAGTTACAATTAGTAATCTAAAATACTAATACCAGTTTAATGTGTCATCTTTGATTCTAGTAATCCATTAAGCTGTCCGTTCTCCCTTTGAATCTTGCTAAATTGCCTTAATTGCACATTAGAATGTTTAGATAGTAATGAGAGAGAGCCCTGTGTTACACAGAAGTTATTGCTGTAGGTCAGAGTTAGGTTCCTCTGATGCCTTAGGCAATGTGTTTGCAGAGACCAGTATTGGGAAAGCTAAAGCAAGAAACCTACGTATTACTACAGTACATAGCTTGAAGTCTCACAAGAGTAAGCCTGGTCCCTTGCTTACTTGGAAGCTTTTTTATCACAATTTATATTCAGAAGGTGGGATTGGTCACAGTCAAGATGTAACTGAAGAAGATTTAAAAACTGAGAAATTATCATCTTAGAATACATGGTGAATCACTAGGGAGGTAATGAGGATGAGTGAATTTGTCAATAGGATGGCAGAGTGTTCTCTTAAGAATCAGGACTTAAGTAGATCCTATTAATAGCCTGCACCAAATGCAGCTATCTTGATTTTAACTTGCTTTCTTGTCTGATTCATTTTCCTTTAGTACAGCAGTTACCAACTTCTAGTCTCATTCCTTCATAACTTTTGTGTTGCCACTTACATCTTCCTTGGTTGCTGAACTAATAACACTCTAAATTACATGATAGTTAGGACATCTGGGATAAAATAAGTGTCTGACCAGTTCCACTGGAGTTTCAAATCCAAGTCCAAGTAATGTAAAATCTAATAGAAGGTAGTAAAGAAGCTTTTCTTCCAGTGACTGAAACAGGACTTTGTCCTTTGGTTCTTTGGGTCTTACATGTTTTAGGATTCATTAGCTGCAAAGCACAACGATGTAGCTAGAGAAGTCCATACAGGGGATATTCTATTTGTGAATAGAACTGTGGAAAAAGTTGTTGCCACTATTACAGTTGTCTGCGACAGCTGGGATAAAGCTATGTCAGACAATGAAAAACCAAGTGCCAGAGTGATTGGTTAAAGATCTAAAGCAGAGGACAGGACTTAGGCAAAAGGAGGGTGGAATGAAAGTCAAAAGTATACCTAGACAAGTCTGGATACGCAACTAGCTTTGGTAGGTACCTGTGGCTTGACAGAAGTCTCTTGTTCTATAAAAACTACTTGTGCTTCCTCAAGTGTGTATAGTGTATTGGACAGGGAGAGAAATAACTTTTATAGTTAGGAGATCAATGCCTATTTCATACCAGAAGCTTGAGTATAGACTGGAAGTTATTTCTTGTCATAGTTCTCATGGAGCAGTAGAGATGGTAGGGCCCAAACCTGTGAATACTGAAAGGGTGCCACATTCCCTTGATTGCATCTAAATTCTTCCAGTTTATCACTGACAGGGAACCAGGTACCTGCAGAATCCTTAATACATGCAGTCAGCTGCGTTGTTACCTACAGGACTGTTGTACTATTTGTCTCCATTATTTGTTGAAGCATACTCTGAAATGCTGCAAGGACTGTTATGTGAGGGCAGTGAGAAGTCACCAGTGTAATTAAAGCAAAGAGCTGGAATTTACCTAGATAATACTCAAATTTGTGGTAATTCCAGTGAATATATGTGCTGTACTTCAGGCAGAATGCATTCCAATACAAATGCACGTTCATTTATCAGTAGAATGAGGTATCACTACCATTGTTTACAAACTTTTAAAATATGAGGATTCCAGTCTGTCATTCTGCTGCACTCATGTCAGCAGCAGGGCAGGAATGACTCCTTACACTGCAGACTTCCTCCCCTGACTTCTCACACTCCTCTCTCCCTTCTTTCCCTGTTGTGTTTATGGAGCCTCCCTGTAGTAGTAACTTACTTTCGTCTGACCCCTCTTGGTGGCTTTAAGAATTGGTTTTACTCATGACATTAACGATGGACTGACTTTACGGTGAGATGGCAACAGTAAAACAGAGCGTGAATCCTGTGCTAATTGGGAAGAGATGATTGTGCACACCAAAATTCCAGCTCATGCAACAGCACCTTGAGAATAACTAACCTGGTACTAGATGATGTAAAAATCAGCTGGAGCAGATATCTTATACTTAAGGGAGAACTTGAGCACATGCAGGAAAAATATTAGCAGTTTTCTTTTTAAGATAATGAACTAACAGTCTTTATTCTCTTTGAAAACATAGTGTTAAAAAAAATCTCGTATTCTTTATGTCAGAATAAGACAAGTGGGTCATTGCAGAAATAAACCTGATTGTCAGAATTCATTTGAATTCAACTAATAGCCTTTCTTTTTTGCCTAGATTTGATAATTACAGCTGGAGGTGAAAATGTGCCTCCGATTCCAATTGAAGATGCTGTTAAAAAAGAACTCCCAATTGTTAGTAACGCTATGGTGATTGGAGATAAGAAGAAGTTTTTGTCAATGTTGCTGACCCTAAAGGTAAACCAGTTTTAATATTGGTTTCAGTGAGCTCATACAGCTGTGCCTAACAAAAGAAGATTTTTGATCTGTTTGTGAAAAGACCCAAAATGAGACACGAGGAGATTAGTGGGGCAAAAAATGCATAATAACTACAGACCAAATCCTAATGGATCTGAACTTCTTATGTTTAATGATCTTATGATCTGTGAAACATCTATGTTCTACTGCTGTTTCGCCTATATGTATAGTAAGACCTTGTTTTTAACTTCAATTAAGAAATGTTGGAAGAGTGAGAAGTCAGCAGCAGAGCACAACAATAGCTTGGATTCTTGTGGATGAACACAGCCAGCAAACACTTCTGTTAGGGGCAAACCCAGTTTCTAACAGAAACTCTCTGACAGAAACCAGCTTTCCACCAGAAACACTTCTCTATGATTTGTTCTTTTCAAATAACCCCAGAATGAATGTAGGATAAAATAATTCATAGCTTTGCTGTGGTACATACTTCTACTGCAAAATCACTTGCGCTTTGTGCTCCGTGTACATACATAGTGAATGACCCTTTAGTTTTTCCTCAAGTTGTTTACCTCTATATAGAGACTGATACTCCCTACCTACAGGTGCAATAGAAATACTGATTTAAGAAGTCTTAATTTCGAAGAATGCTTCTATCTCAAGCTGTTTGCATTACACCACAGTGATTCAAGTTAATGGTGAGCTAAAACTTCCCCTGTAACAATGGAGTAATTTAGAAAATGTGGTAGAAATTTAGGATCTATAAATGGATTTTATTGCCTCATTCATTAAGATCTCTTAAGTCTGTTAATTTCACCTTCATATAAGCCAAAAATATTTGCATTTGGTAGCCAAGTGGAAAGAAAAGCATTCTCATATGCAGGTGTTTCTGGGTTTTAATGCTTACAGGATGTTTGGCTGTTGGTGCCTTGCTGCTTGTTTCTTACTAGTCAGGAGGGACCTTATCAGAGAAACTTCTAATGCTTGTAAGAGTGAGCATGTGATGATTCACTTCATTTGATATTTTAGAGTGTGCTGGACCCAGATACATCTGAGCCCACTGACATTCTCACTGAGCAAGCCAGAGACTTCTGCCAGAAGACTGGTAGTAAAGCCACTAGAGTATCAGAGATTGTAGCTGCAAGAGACCAGGCAATCTACCAAGCCATTCAGGAGGGAATCGACAAAGTCAACATGAATGCCACTAATCGGGTCCATTGTATCCAAAAATGGATAGTCCTGCCAAGAGATTTTTCCATTTCGGGGGGAGAACTAGGTAAGATTTGCTGGTTTCTGTTGAGGTCTACACACAGTAAAGAGGCTGCTGATAGGAGAGTGTTCAAAAAGTTTCATATGCCAAATTCTGGGCCCAGCCAGTAGAGGGAAAGGAAAAAGCCATTAGCAGTGTGTGTTAAAGAACACAAAACTGGAGGGTTTGCTGTGCCCTTATGTATCCTTCTGTGCTTATTTACAAGTACAGTTCTATAGTTAAATTTCAGATTGCTTTGGCCAATTAAATAATCGATTCTGGTTAATTCCTTGTGCATTATAGTATTAATAACTTTCAGTAATAATACTAAAAATATATTGTTTTAAAGTGAAAGCCTGACAGCGGAGATCCAAGCACATTACCAGGCTCTTTGAATACACTGGAAATTGTTTAAAAGCTTTCAAAAAATAATTCTTTTAATCATTTTTAATGAAAAAAGTAGCAGTAGTCAGTCATCATCTTACCTGCAGCTCCCTTTGAAGTCCTCGTGCCTTACATACCATGCTTGCTTCTCACTTTTAGCAGCTGTCTGCACTTACAGAGTGGCAGATGTTCTTCCAAACAGGCGTTTCAATAGAAAATCACAGGAGCCAAAGCTCAGACTGAGTAGGAACTTTTATTCTTATTTCTGCTGTTCTGACTCTCTTCCTCTCTCAAGGTCCAACGATGAAGCTGAAGCGGCTCACCGTGCTAGAGAAATACAGAACTGAAGTGGACTCCTTCTATGAAGAATAAGAAGTCTTTTCACCCAAGCATTAACAAAGATCTGTGAGCTAAAGAATTTCCTAATCAAAAGCATTAACAAAGACTTACATTTGGTTTGGCTTTGTAGTTCTAGAAAACTGCTGTGTCAGTTTAGTTGTTCCCAATACTCACCTCATCATTTGCCCTCTTTACAGAAGCATCTACATCTACACAGTGTGTCCATTTCCTAATACTGTTCTGACTTTGACCTACATGACTGAGATAAAAACGTTCTCTTGTGTTGTATAAAGTGGCTATAAGCTAGAGATGTGGAGGCTGCTCTATCCTTGCAGACATACAAGGCCAGGCTGGATGTGGTTCTGGGCAGCCTGATCTAGTTGAAGATGCTTGTTGCAGGGGGGTTAGACTAGAATGAGGTTTGAAGGTTCCCTTCCAACCCAAACTATTCTATGATTCTGTAATTCTTCTATACTGAAACGGAAGTTGCCAGTTGCTTGTGTTTTGGTAGAGCAGCAGTGGAACTGTTCCACCACTCCAGCAATCAGGTCATTATTGAAAAAAAAAATAAAACAAAAAGGGCTGGGTTTCCCCCCCCAGGGAAGTTTCTTTGTGCTTAGTAAGACATTTTGGAACCTGAAGCAATCCTCTTCCATTTTAACAGTGGTTAGAATTCAGACTTGGGTGAAAACAGCAGCTAATAATTTCTTAAATCCCTGTTGAACTGAGCATTGCTATTTCTCCCAAAACCAAATAATCAAAAGAAAAAGTTGGGGGAATAGCTCTCTAAGGCTGTAATACAAAGCAGCAAATGCAGGAGCTCCCACATTAAGTGCTGTTTAGAACAGAAACTTTGTTCAAATTGTTTACAGCACTTGTTTTTAAAGCAGAAGGGGTTTGAAGCAATGTTTGTCAGTGTGTATCTGCACATTTCAATATGCACTTTGTACTAATGCTGCCAAGTGGGAGATGCATTTCTTCTTCCCCATATAAAAACTAAATCATATTATATGAGGGACACATGTGACAGAAGGTTGTCTAAAGGGTTTGCTGTAAGTAAGTTCTCTTTGGCAGAGAGTTGTAACAGGTAACACAAGCAGCCAGGCTACAGCCACTGTTCTTGATCAGAAAAATCATGCAGAATTGGATCTTGTTTCCAGGAATGTTCCATTACCAGTCTTACACATCTTAAGATACTTCAGAGTTGTTGCAAGTACCAATAATCAGCTCAACACATAAGACAAGACACCAGCCTAGGATTATAAAAACAAAACAAGCAATAGGGCTTTGAAAAGTTTATTTTTTTCCCCATTTCTGCGCAATGGTAATTCAGAAGTTCTTTAACAATATTAATCTAAAGGAAACAAGGAAGCAGCAGCTTGTAAACCACAGGAAGAAATGTTGCCCTATTCACCAGAAGCAGAGTGCACAAGGAATAAAGCTCATTGTCCCTCCTCCAAGATGGTGTTAAGACTGTACAAAAAAAGCTGGGATGCTTACTTTTATACAGCGACACTAGAAGCTGTTACTTAAACTTGATTTGACTTCTGAAACAACCAGCCTAAACAGTCATAAAAGAAAGTAACTAAATGGAGTGTTATCTATTAATAGAATTAAGCTTTAAGAAGCCTGGTACTGGCAGTAGGGATAATCCTGTGCTGTAGTCATGAGTTTTAAAACACACATTTTCCTGTGGGGTGTACCAATGGAAGCATACCTTGAGACATACAGATCCAAATGACTCATATGATCATCTGTATGTGAACAACAAGGGAGGGAAGAAGAGTTGCTTTCGTGTGCGTTTAGCTTAGTAAGCCTGAAAGAAGTAGTCCAGGATCCCCATGAATAGGATGAAATGTATTTCTGGAACATAGGCACCAGAGCCAAACCTTCAATCTGTCTTAACCCATTTAGGACTAGTGTCTTACATTCAGTTTCTAGAATAAAATTACTAATCAGTACAGTAAGACACAGTGAACAGAATGCATAAAAGTACAACACAAAAAGCATTCCAGCAGAAGTCATGAAATATTTAGTATAAATTTGCAAAGTTAATACTTTCCGCTCTAAATATATGGCAGAACTCATTTTGACTAATTTACTCTTATTAAAGCTCTGTTGTAAAGTGTGTTTCAGAGAGGAAAACTGGTAAGAATTATTTTGGTATATAGATTCAAACAATTTTACTTCAACATTAATTCTCACCCCTGTCTGGTAAATGGTTGTGGGCTTTTAAAAATACACAAATAGATTAAATCTCTAGGATTTTGTATTCCTTTATTTGTGCCCTTGGAGGGCAAGGCTATATTTCATGAATTACTGGAGTACCTAAAGTTGTTTCTTTGTTGCTTTAACATGAAATTGCCATTTTAAGTTACTTCATACCCGTTTCTGTCTATGAAGGTCATCTTGTGCTCCTGTTAGGCTGAAAACCTATCTCATAAATTCCAGTAAGATCAATAAAGTAGGTTTTAACCATTAAGGTGCTTTTATATTTCACTAATTCTGTTACTGGTTTATTTGCACTTTTTTTTTGGCTTTGTGGAAAGTAAAAACCTCCAGTTGAAATGGGAAATGGTAGAACAGCTCCAGTGGCAATGAAAGAATTCACTGACGTAAAAATGTTCACCAGATAGATAGATAGAAAAAAATAAATATGACAAAGCACTTCAAGTCCACTGAAAGCAGGCACAAGCATCATTCGTAGCCATTTGGACTGACTTTATTAATGGAGAGGCCCTAGCTAAAAAGTTTGCTCTCAAGAGACAAGCAAACTATACGCATATGGATATCATATATAATGTACTTTGTGTGCTGTGTCCTTTCGGAGTTATTACAGGTAGTATGAGAAAAATTTAGTCTTTGTCCTTTACTCTGCGGCAGATCTCCTCTGTGAATTCCGAACACTTGGCATTACCTCCCAAGTCTTTTGTCAAGACCTGAAAGAAAGAAAGAAAAACCATTACTGAACTGTTTTATGGGGCTGGTCTTGTCTGAACTGTTCTAGGTGATGTTCTTCTATGTTGTGTGTGGATACTAAATAGGGGTGAGGAGGAATACATCCAGTTGGAGATTTGCTGCATCCTGTATCAATAAGGGCTGTACGGACTGAAGCAGGTAAAGAAAACTTGAGTATTAACATCAAGTATTATCAGATTTCCACATGATTTTATCTTAACTGCAGGAAGATAATATGTTTGGCCAAAGCTCTCCAAAGTCCCTTGACCACATAATAGTGTAATTAATCATTAAGTATTAATCATTAAGTATTTAAGCTTTCAATAGGAACTTTGTCCTTTGGAAGTAAAAATTATATATGAAGGCACAGCACAAAGGCAACTAACTGGTTTTTTGGGGGTTGTATGGTTTTTGGGTTGTTTTGTTGTTGTTTTTTATTTTAATGTGTGTTTGTTGTTTGTTTGTAGGGAAACCTACACAGAAAAAGCATACATGGCTTTTAATGCTGCATGTTAACAGTTCTTCCAGTTTGCTTAGTTTAGTTAAGAGATGGAAAAAGGCAGAGTTAAAGAAACTTTTTCAACTCCTGTCTGGCAGCACAAAGATAGTAAAATAAAGAAGGAAGTGGACAACATTGCTAGTCCAGCTTTGCTAGATTAAAGCACTCCAGAAGGTAATTTAAAACCGTGAGTTTTCGCCTTACATGACACACAGAGAGATCTTAATTTAATGGCTGGGGGGAAGGTAGGAAAGGGAGAAACAGAAAGCAGGAGAGGCAATCAAAGGTTGTTATTTTAGGATCTTATAATTTTAACTGCATTATGCTTTTTTTCTAATTTAAAAAGATACTCTCCATTGTGAGCATATATTCATAACATTGTAAGTAACAAGTAAACCAGTAGCTATGTCACAAAACTTGCACAATGTTATCTTCCATAGAATTACTGACCTGTAGATGGAGGATTTTTCATTTCCAGAGCAGTAAATGGGAACTTTACAGGAGCACCTCTTTATTCACTTGTAAGTTTAGATATTTTTTTAACTGCCTCCTACACACAATAAGATAGCTGCAAACAGACCACTTATGAAATGATGACAGTTTTTTGTTTAAGCATACTTGTTACTTTTCATTACGAAGTAGCTTCTTATGCTCCTGCCCAAGTTAACTGAACCAGCCTAACTGCTAATCCTCTTTAACTGCAATCTTCAGAATCTTTCCAGCTGTTTGAAAAGGTGGATGTAAAAGTAGATGAGTGAACCAACAATTTTAAGAGCACAAATTTAAGTAAGGTTTCAGAGCGTGTGCCCTCCTGAATATCCCATTTGAGTCTCTAATCTGGAGACACTTGCTGCCAAAGGGAAATTGCATACAGTCTTAAGGGGTAAAAGTATATACTGGATAAAACCTGTTTGTAGCCCAAAAAGGAGTGAAAGCAGTTAGAAGGTAAAAAAGAACACAATGGAACTGAGAAAACAGGAGCAAAAGTATTACGGTCAGGATTAAAATGCTGTAAAACAAGTGGATAACTAAGCTTGTGAAAGGCAAATGAGCATCCTTCACTTCAGGATCCAGATTTAAATATATGTGCTTTGTATACATTATAAACTTCACTACTGAAATATCATTAGTTACTTAAACCTCTAATCCCCTTCATGAAAAAACAGACATCCAGTCCTAGCTTTGAGAGTCAACAAAGCTGTGGAAACGTAAGATGAGCATTACTGAGACACAAGGAATGCTACAGCCTATCCATCCTTACTGTTGAGCCGCGCAGCTTCAACACTACGAAAGATAGTAACATTACTATCAGAGGACAGTGGCACTGCTCATGAGTCAGGCCAGCACAGCAGTTCATCCACTGATCTAGTGTTCATGTTCTAAGTTAATTTTTGCTATGATAGAATCTGATTTCAGTTCAGTGTGTTTATTTGCACACCCTTAGATTACCTTTCCATCTCTAATTGTATCAAAGCAAGCTGTCTCAATTTTTGCTGCATGCTTGTGTAGTCCCATGTGACGCAACATCATCACAGCACTCAGCAGAAGGGCAGTTGGATTTGCCATGTCTTTTCCTGCAATGTCTGGTGCCGTTCCATGAACCTAGAAATAAAAGTGAACCTGTCTGTTATGATGTCAGTAATGCTGATTAAAATGTCCTAGGCAATCCAAGTGTATGCAAGCAACCTGAAACATAATCCTCACACAAGCATGCTAAAATAGGACTTACTTCACAGCGATAGTTAGTGGGAAGGAGATAGGAAAGACCAGAACAATTCAATTCAAAGGTATCAGAAAGGGGTAACTAAGTCACCTAGTATCTCCCAGTTGTGCCCATGAAGTTCTACTTCACAGAGCATATTTATCTTTCTTACAAAATAGAGGAAAAACAAAGTGTCAGTAAAAGGACATGCAAAAAATTATGTGTAATACATACTGTAACTGCTGTCTCTGAGTAAAGGTTCAGTGTATTCATAGTATAGTTTTACGTAGAACTATGTAAAAAAAACAGTGACAGCCACACACACTGTCATGGAAAAGTGTTAGATTCTCCAGTTGAGACAAATGAGTTGTTAATACTGTACCTTGCATAAGAAGACTTACCGATTCAAAAATGGCAACTCCATTAGCACCAATATTACCACTTGGTGTTACTCCAAGACCCCCAATCAGTCCAGCACACAAGTCACTGGAGATATAGATGATATTAGGTAGATGAATTACTAATTGTTTTAAAGCTTATTGCATTTGGCTTACGTAATATGTTCCAGTGACACCAGACTAGCTTTCCCCCTCTCTTTCTTGAACAGCCCGCAAGTCTGACATTAGCAGGTCATCAGCCACAAGCAATTTACAGAAGCAGTTTGCATTTGGTTTCCTCCAAAATTAATATGGGGAAGAACAAACCAACTGTGCCTATAGTCATCATCCTCTACCCTCAAAGCTGAGTATACAGATAAAGAAGGCTCTTAAAACTCTAGTATTTTAGCATACTGTTTTATTGCCTACAACTTAGCTAAGCAAGGACTCACAAGCAGAAAAGTTTGGGTGACCTTGCAGAATAATATTTTAAGTTTGAGCTAAAATAACCCAATTAGCTTTAGTTGTATAGTCTGGAGAGAAAAAAAAATGGATACAGTCTAAATTTGTCACAGTAGGGATTTAATGGTCCAAGCTAAGAGGTTTCCTTCTGTACCTATTCAGTCCAAGAAACCTGTTTGGCATTATGTTCACACTTCAGTGCAGGTGAGACCATCCTCAGTGACTAAAGTGCCCTCTTCAAGAACACACTCACATTTATTAAAAATGTTTAGAACTATGAAATCATTGATAGAATTTCTATGAGAACTTTAAAATCAGTGATGCTGAATTAGATGAAGTGAGTTGAAATAGTACTGATGGGACTCATTTGATTTGATCTCCTTTGGTTAACAGCTGCTGTAAGGGCACTGTCTACCCCTCTAACAGTTTTTAATGCAAGAAGCATTAGTTGGAAGTCTGATTTTAATTAGAGGCGACAGACAGCCTTATCATAGAGAGAGTGCCATTTCAAGGGAAGCTCAGCAAGCATTTCTTCTTGTATGTAAGCTACCTTTACATTTGTTATCTGTACAAACCCAGGAGATGGATTCTAAGAGGTAAATTCTGATCTCTCCTTGGAGGTGCAAGGGGAAGTAATGTTATGTTAAAAGTTCAGATTAAGATACTTAATTTTACATGCAGCATTCAATTGAATTTACTCTCTACCTAAACATTTTACAGAATGGAAACAGTGTTCTGATGTATTTTGCCTTCAAGAGATCAAGTACCTCTAGTATTAGTGTTACTCAAATATGCAATTTAATTTGAAAATAAGGAAAAATACAATACATAAAACAAGCTATTTTAGTGCTTAAGATTAGAAAGTTTCCCCCCCAATACCTAACTAAACATTCTTTATTACAGTTTAAGCCATTAAATTCTTCACACATTTGGAGAAGTATCTCTTCTGGCCCATCTGACTTATATTCATAGCCTCCATAAGCAGAAACTTTATTTAAACTAAGAAGCACATTCTCATCATGCAGCCCCTCCCAACAATATAGTAATAATTGAACTGTAATAACAGCATCCTTTCTTCCCACTTAAAGTTTGAGTTATAAAGTTTTAAACTCTGAGTGCATAAAATCATCACCCATCTGGCTAGCATATAACCCAAGTAACTGTCTGGAAAGTAACAGTATTCTACACACTGGACTAGTTGAAATTACAGTCTCCATACCTGAGGATGTCACCGTACAAGTTTGGCATAACAAGCACATCAAACTGTGATGGATCTTGAACCATCTAGAAAGAAATACATTTTCATTAAGGTTAAGAATTTAAAGCTAAAGCTAATGACAAGTAAGACACATCAATACTCACGTTCAGACACACAGTATCCAGGTACATTTCATTAAATTTAATATCTTTACAGTTTTCTGCTGCCTCCCTGCATTTTCTCAAGAAAAGCCCATCAGACATTCTCCTGCAATTAGATAAGCAAGAGAATATTGCAGTTATTCTAAGAAAGCAATACTGAAGATAAAGAAAACTGCATGCAACAGAGGATTAAATAAATATATATATAAATGTAGATTAAAATATTAGCAGAGTTAGCAGAAACTTTGTTACTAATTATCCCTTATGTTAAATAATCTTTTAAATATATTGCAGTAAGAGAAGTTACGCCTTTTAAATTTCCTCCTAAACTATTTTTCTATCAGTATTTTAACAGGCATACATTGATTCTCAGGATGACTCCTGTTCATTTACTAAAGGCTTCCTGGGTTTGTAAAGGTAGCATCACATAATATCACACCTCTTACAACTCAGTTCAGTACAAAGACTAAAACACACTAGCTATTATCAGCCTCAGTTTTTAAAATAATTTTCCTAGTTTAAGACTCTTTTTAAAATAAAAGCTTCGCAAGGAAAGTCACAGGATTACTACAAGCTTTCTAATAATAACAGTAGTATATTAGAGTCATATCAATACTGGGTCAGGACTGCCTGATTACTTACTGCCAGTAACATCAACACAAGTTATACACTTGAGGAAGACTTAAAAAGTTGTTTATAATTAAATGCATTATTACTATTTGTTATTCTGCTCAAGCAGAAGTGTCAACATACATAATATTTGCCTTGTGCACAGCAGTAACATGGCTTCTCTGGTTGTTTCTGGCATACTCAAAAGCAAATTCTGCAATACGCTTGCTGGCCTCTTCTGTGATCAGCTTGATACTTTGCACAACACCATCAACAATCTGAAAGACAGTAATCGCACTGACAGTAAAACCAGCAGCTGTTTTCAAGTCACTTCAATGAATGTTTGGAACAAAGGAGTGAAATTCTGAGTGAGGCAGTCTCAACAATGCATTTCACAATAAAATAGCTTTCTTTGATGGGTAACACACTTGAACACCACTGAATCTCCTCCTAGTATTAGGCCACTGACATGGGCAAAGTTATCCTTCATGAAACACAGAAAACCCATTAGAAACACAAACCCACCACTTCCAGCAACGTACCACGTGCTCAATTCCACTGTATTCGCCTTCTGTGTTCTCTCGAATCGTGACAATGTTCACATCTGTATATGGGGTTTTGTACCCTTCAATTGAGACACAGGGACGGACGTTTGCATAAAGGTCAAAGGTTTTACGCAGGAGCAGGTTCATTGATGGGTGTCCTGCAGCAATCGGGGTCTTTAAAGGCCCTAAAGGGAAAAAGTAAAAAGCAAAACCAAGAATGAATGAGAAGATAAATCCCTCCATGAATTTCAGATTTCAACTGTAGTAACCTGAAGTGGTGCTCTTAACAGAGGATCTCCAAGTTCCTATTTCACCCTTCTGCTGAAAAGCCACAGGAATTCTCTGTGCTATCGAGTACTATTACAGTGATATTAATCAGCTGTTTAAAGGCCAAATTGCCACCCTTGCCTAGAATAGGAGTTTTTACAAAAGCTTTTCACTGAAAACAACAAAAACAAGACACTATTCATTAGGAACACAGTTATTGCATACTATCATTAGAAATGCATTCTGCACAGAGTCCAAAGGCTGGTTTGTAGCAGTAGTTGCCTTTAATGTATTTCCTAGAAGATCTATGAAAGTTATGGCTTCTAAATGAAGGATTGTTTTAAAATTACAGAAGACTACCTGACAGGCTGTCCCCTATAATTAACCATTTTATTATGCTACAGATGAAGGTCTTCAGCTTTAAATCAGACTCACAATAAAAAGAACAGTATTTAATATCTTTGTATTAATCCCTTTTAATGTACCTTTTAATCCCATTTTGTTTTTATCCATGGATTCTTTGGCATCTGGAGGAATCATCCACTTCCCTCCTGGTCCTTGGATAGCTGTAACATTCCTTTCTTCCCACTGAATAGGAGTCTAAACACATTTACTCTATGTTAACTTAAATATCATCACTTTTGCTTCAAGTTTTAATTTCTCTTTCCAGTTCTTAGAGCTGTTGAGTTACTTGTATACAAGAGACAAGACATTCGAAAATTGAATTCATTGAGAACTTGTCATCCATACTGCCTGCAAGACAGTACATAATAGATACATATCTGCTTTCTAACTGAAAAACTGCAAATGTTCCATTCACCCACTTCTAAGTGGAGACAAGCTCTCAAGGACCATAAAGGAAAAGATACAAGGGCTTTGCAAACAGAACTGATCTAAGTGTAACCTATTAGAGAATCCCCTCTAAACCGAACAGATCTGATTAAGTATTGCAAGCATGCACTCACACACAAACCTAGCCTTTACTCCTCCACCCCTCCTGCTTGACTCCCCAGAAACAACCAAAACTCTTACAAGGTCTTCCTAGGTAATTAAAGAGAACTTCACTTTTCCCCAGTTCAAGCTGGATAGTTGTAATGGAAAGGAATATGTCTTTGTGCTGTTACTAATGTGGAACAATTTAACAGGCATCTTTCCTGAAAGAGCTCTATTTCCTTTTGAGGAAACTGAATGAATTCTGGTGAGGTTCCTCAGACAGGCAGTAACACAGTTCTTGGACATACTCTGCTTTCGTATCACTGAAGTGAATGTGTTCAGCAGTGCAGCAGTTTGATTTCTAAGAACATGCCCAGTCCTTTCATACATGCTTTCATCTGCACTGGAAGTCACGATGAACAAGAGAACAGCCTCTATCAGTTGCCCAGGATTGCTACATCAACAGTATGATTTCCCATGAATATTGAGTTTATATTTCCAAAATTAAATACAGCATTTGCTGTCTACTCTGCCAGCTAACAGTTTCAAGCCCTGCCTTGATATCCCAATCCTATCTTTTACTAGCTGAAGCTTCAGACTCTTTCCATTGTCAAGAAGTCTTAATAGCTTTAACATGACTTGCTTATTTGGAAGTTAAAGACAAATTATTTTTAATAAGCCTAGTTAATACTTGTTGTAGTTAAACTTATAATGCTTACAGCAAGAGTAATATGACTTACTTTGGCAGCATCAAAGATCTTCACGACAGCAGCAGAAATCTCAGGTCCTATGCCATCTCCTGGGATTAAAGTTACTGTTTGTACCTAGGTATAGAAATATCAGTAGCACAACAAATGAATGCTTATTTTCTATGAAGAAAACATTTTCATGTGTTGTAGAAAAAAACGAACTAGAAAAGGAAGTTTCAGTTACCAAATGAGCACTATGAAGAATAGCAGCACTGGACAGAAGGAAGGATGACTAGTTTGCTTTCAGAGGCAGCATGCAGATATGTTGAGAAACTTTTTTAAAATCTGCCCATCAATTCCTATTTCTAAACACAGAGATTTAACCTGAAGGGCAGGTTCCTGTTCAATCCTCCTTGAACCAAATCATCTCCACATGCTGCCTTCTTGAAATTTGGAGGAGATAATATTACCTATTACCTGTTCTGTTACCCATATGTCTCCAGTATTAGCAACATGCTGCATAATAGTGACACATGCTAGAAAAGATGAAATGTATGAAAAACTTAAAAAAAAATTAAAAAATCTCATGCTTATCTAAACTTCTCAAGTGAATTCCTAAAAATTTCAGTCCCGTTTTTAACAATACCCAGTTATTTTCCTCCCAGAATGTTTTCAGTCTTGTTGCTTTTATCATCATCAAAAAAGGTAAACTAAATTGCACAGCCCAGGCTCACTGAAAAAACAGTGGAAGAAAGTACTCTGCTCTGATTAAAAAACCTAAATAGGTGATGATCACTATTCTAATCCTCCAGGCCTCCAGCTCTTCTTGCTTTATTTAAAGATTCCCAACAGTTTTGTCAGGGCTCATTATTACCTACCAGAAAAGGCAGCTCAGATGCAGCATCAGAATTAGAATCAACTCACAAGATACGCTTCCATCCTGCTCCACACAAAATACTCAGAATCTCAATATATATTGACTGATATTTTAACTAATTTGAGCCACAGAAATTCACTGTGCATAACAAAAGATGCAGAGCTTCAGATACAAGAACCCTGCTGTTGAGCAAGCACATAGCAGGTGGAATGCCTCAAGACTAGTTTTGTTCTGTCTTAGGACTCCACCTGAGCCAGAGAACATTTCATCTGACACAGGACTGTGGTAAAAACAGAACCAGAGGTGCCTCACCTTCTAAATCTCTTTAGACTGTATAAGATATGAGCAACCCTTCAGTGTCACTTCTAGGTCTTCTACATGCTGTTCGACAAAGCTTATAATTAAAAGCCACAGCTCCTCTTTAAAATTAAGTCCTGCTTAAGGGTGCATGCTGTGGTGCTGAGCCCTGCCCCTGCCTGAGCAGTTTTGAGGGCAGCCTTCACTGAAAATAAAAGGCCCATGGGCACTTCAAACACATACACATAAAGAAGGTAAAACATCTACAAGGAAATATGCCACCAGCATCTAAAATACTTCAAAGAGAGCCTTGAATGCACAACTTTAGGTGTGAGGTATTCTAAAAGCAACAGTAAAGTAAACCTAGTGCTTGAAGGGAAGTCTGCAAAGTAAAGAAAATGAGAAGCTTCTCAACAATTTGTCTCCTTTGCCCAGTGCCAGATGAGTTTCAAAAGGCTGGCTCATGTCCAGATTGTGTGAAAAGTTTTCATACCACTTCTATCTTTTGCTGGAGCCTTTTGTATTATCACTTACGTTTTAATATGCAATTGCCAAAGACAGTAAGCCAATATAAATCCAGCATGGCATTAAGAGCATGTATGCTCACTTATTTAGGCCTTATTTCTTGAGAATGTAAAAATAACAACATTGATATCGTAAAA